TGCTTCTCTTCCAGGCGGTGGCGGCCTTAATGGAGATGGGCTTTGATGAGAAAGAAGTGGTGGACGCCCTCAGGGTTAACAACAACCAGCAAAACGCCGCAGTGAGTCTCTTTAAGCAGCGCTGATTTATGAGACAAGGCAGGATAAGGGCTTGAAGACGTCCACAGATATCGAAATACACACCAGAACTCAGATAAGAACTGTAAGACTAGAATTATTTCATGCTTTACTTCCAGCACTGGGCCATGTGCAGTTTGTCCTTTTAAACAGTCCTCACAGCTGCAGCCCATGAAGGGGATCAGGGCCCTTTCCTCTCCCGTAGACCATGCCATTCATGTTTCTCCGTTATCCGCTCCTCTCTGCATGCCCTAGGATGAAGAGGGGATAGGCCTGGGTCTTCCTCTGAATGCCCAGCCAGCCTGTGCCCTCCCCCAGTTTCCTCCACACCTCCAGAGCCACACTTCCACTAACTGTCAGCTGTTCTTCCTCTCCCTCAGACTCCAACAGGGGCATGACATGCAGTATACAGGTGCTCTATGGAAGACAGGCTGGTTGCAGTCTTAAGTGTCTGTCAAAGTGTTTACCTGTCCTGTTTGGTAGATAGACGAGACCAGGCAACTATAAATGACAAACTCAACTGACTTGGAGTTGCTCACACTTCTTCTCGTATGTCGTCCTCGGAGGTCTGCAAAAGGGTCACCCTTTGTCTTTATCTCCTCCTCTCAGTGCGAGTGGCTGCTGGGCGAGCGGAAGCCGACCCCAGAAGATTTAGACAAAGGGATTGACCCTGCCAGTCCCCTTTTCCAAGCCATCTTAGAAAACCCCGTGGTGCAACTGGGGCTGACAAACCCTAAAACTCTACTCGGTAAGTCCCACGGCTCCCCAGGAATTTCGGTGCAGACACCGGAGACGAGGAAGGCGGGCCCAGTTGCGGTCGTAAGCCAAAAAGGAGGGTGGGAAGTGGGGGGAAACTAACCTCCACCCTCTCTCTTTTCTCTGGCAGCTTTTGAAGACATGCTTGAGAACCCCTTGAACAGCACGCAGTGGATGAACGACCCTGAAACCGGGCCGGTTATGTTACAGATCTCCCGGATCTTCCAGACGTTGAATCGCACCTAGAGGGCTCCGGCTATCTCCGCTGCGCCATGTTGGGTTTTCCGCTTTGCTCCCACCCCGGAAGGAAGCCGAGGAGCTTTGGGAAGGCGGCGCCCGAAGTGTGTTTTCTTTTTGCCTTTTGAGTCTTTGGGTTGACGTGTTAACGGACTTTCGGTTTGGTCCCACTTCCGGCTTCTGCCCCGTGCCGTTTTTCTCTCTTTTAGATGTAGTAGGAGACAGTGGGATGAGAACAACGTCCCCTTTCCTTTCGAGTGTTTCTATTTTTGATTTTTAAAAAAAAGAAAAGAAAGAGAATGAGAAAATGATCCATCGTCGTAAACCGGCGTTTGCCAATTGGGAATCCAACCACTGGAAAAAAATAAAAGACGGCTTCCTCCGTACGCGCAGAGCTCCAGGAATGGCACGGGGTTCGTTTTTGCACGCAAGCTCTTCTTTCTCGGGACGTTTGGTTTCTCCTCTTAAGTTATTTCTGTTGTAAAATACAGAAGGGTTTTTAAACTGACGGTCTGAGAGGTTTTTTTTTTTGCTTTACGAGACCCAGCCGGGTTCCCCACCTCAACCAGCCCTGCCTTAGGGACGTTAAAAACCTTTCACTCTCTTCTGATGTGTAGAAAAGGAAGAAAAAAAGCCATTTTTAACAAGATACATCTCCTAAAACATGTTTTTGTGTGTCAGAATACAGCACTGTTCTCCCAACTTGAGCAGGGACAGCAATGAAGTCTTGTCGAGGGGTTGGAAGAATTATCCCTCTGGGTTCAGTTCCAAGTGGGGAAAAAGACACTGGAAACATGGAGGCCAGGGGTGGGATTCTACCAGTTCGCACCTATTCGCTAGAACCGGTTAACATTCTAAGCAGTTTGGAGAACCGGTTGTTAAAGAAATTACTGGGCTAATCCTGTAAGGAAGGCAGGAAGGAAACAGTCTGGTGTTGCTTACAGAAACTGCCTCTCCATTAACCCGTTACGTTCTTGGCAGGACTAGACTTCCTGTCTCAGGAACTTCTTTGGAGTTTTTTTTCCCTTCCTTTGTTGGTACTTTGCTTGTGTGGAGTGACCACTCAAAGTTACAACGGGACGGAAAAAAGTGACGTATGACCATTTTTCACACTTACGACTGTTGCAGCATCCCCACAGTCATGAGAGGCCAGGCAAGGAGATGCGTGCCTCGATGTGAATGATATTGAGTTGGCCACACCGAGCCAGTCACAGACCACCAAGCCATGCTCACCAACTAAGCCATGCCCACAGAACCGGTTGTTAAAAAATTTGAATCCCACCCCTGATGGAGGCTGTTTGGAAGGTTTAATGGTGGACAGGACCGCGTGGCTTAGAGCTCCAAAGAAGGAAGGTCAAGAAGGAGGAAGGTCTGAGATGCTGAGAGTGTTTTATACCCTCTATTGAGATTTGAATTTGAGCTTGTATTCTGATTGGTTGTCAGACTCCCATGGGGCTATGCAGGGGCAACTTTGTAGGCTGTCCTGAGTCCCAAGCTTGGTTGAGCCTTGCTGGATGATGATGATGTAATGAAAAGGCTTTAGGCAATTCCTATAGCTCTATCTGGAGATCTTTGTTATGTAAAATATTCTGTCCCAGGCCTTAATTAACAAAGGTGGGGGTGAGCTTCTGTTCTCTTTAGGGGAAATATTCTGCCTTTTTAATATTTCCTAGGATATTTCATTTCTCTCGGAGAGGGGTGGATGCGAACTTCCTGCAGATGAACAAAGTGATCGTTTGGCAACTGACTCGTACTTAACGATGGTTGCAGAAGGGGTGAAGTGATCCCTTTTTCCAACCTTCTGACAAGCAAAGTCAATGGGGAAGAGGCCAGATTCGCTTCACAATCGCGTGGCTAACTTCACAACCCCAATTATTAACAGCTGGGGGGGGGGGGAGATTGTAAAACGAGGGAAAACTCCTTTCAAGTGTCTGGCTTAGCACTTTGGGCTCAACCCATGGACCCCAGAAGAGGCTGGATAGCCATTTGTCCGAGGTGGGACAGGGCCACCTACTTGGGCCGGATGGACTAGATCAGAGGTCTCCAACCTTGGCAACTTTAAGACTTGTGGACTTCAGCTCTCAGAATTCTCCAGCCAGCTATGCTGGCTGGAGAATTCTGGAGACCTCTGGACTAGATAGAAGACTTCTCTTCCAGCTGTTATTCTGCTTTTCGGGAATTAAAAAGAATAGGGCGATAAGCCAAGGCTGTGCAGGAGGGATTTGGCATCAACCCTGCTGGAAAACTTTCCACGCAACACATGGAAGCCGCCAATTCGCTCTACCGCCTCTCCACCGTTCCCACGGGTGGGTTGTGCATTCCCAGAGCGCCAGGCTGAGTAAACCAAGGTCCAATTAGCCACGATTCAGCGGATGGTACAAACACATCTTATTTTTGGGTGTGAGGCAAGCGGAGGCTGCACCAGGAAAGCGGGTGCCATTGCTGGTGGGGCAGCCACACGCATTAACCTTGGGGGGGGAGGAGTACTGTGTCTGTGGAATCTGCCCCAAGTAAGTCACCCCCCCCCCAAAGTCTCGATTCTGCTTTGCCTCTGGCGGGGAAAGAAGGGCTTGATGATTGCAAAGCTTGAATAATTTGCATTTTCTGCAGCATTTCCTTGTAGCCCCCCCCCCATCCCTGGCAACTGGAGAAGGAGGGGGCTGCAGGGCTGCAACCGCTGCAAGGGCATGCCTGAACGAGGGAGGGGGCACTTGCTCTCCAATTCTCCCCCCGCTTGGAAGGGTGGGTGGGGGCTTTCTGCACCACCTTGTGTTATTTGCAGGCAAGGCCGGAAGCGTGCAACATGTAGCATTCATGCAACAGCCCCAAAACAGCCTGAAGGGCCTCTTCTCTCCCCCCCCCCCCCCCCCCCCCCGCTGCACCAGCACACAATAGGGCAGGGAAACTCCCGCACGAAGCAGCCGTTCTCCGCAAACGCACGCGTCCTCTGCCCGCGCATGCGCCCCCCGCCGCCCTACTTTCGCTCGCCCCCGCTGGCATCAGGACCAGCTAGAGCCAGATCGCTCCGCCCACTCCCAGCCTCTGCGCTGCCTATTGTAATAAGCCACCAATCCAGAGCGGAGAGGGGCGTGCTCCCGGCCCTCAGCCCCGCCCCTTCGTTCAAAACGTCGCCCGCTGGAAAAAAAAAAGTGAAGCGCGTTTCAAAGAAGGGAGGGGGGGACAAGCCGCGCCACGGCGCTTGCGCAGAACGCTGCTCTTCTCGAGCAGGGCCGCTTGACCTCTTTATTTCATTACTCCCGTTGGGGGGGGAAGGCGCCCGTGCGCTTGCGCAGAAGAGCGACAGGCGGAGGGCGGGAAGGAGGGAGTCGCGCTGACGTCTCTCTCTCTCTCTCTCTCTCTCTGTCTCTCTCTCGGCCGCGCATGCGGCTTAGCTCGACTTCATCCTCTCTCCTGCTGCCACCCGATTGGGGAGAGGGCTTACAGGCCCCGCACACGCGCCTGCGCGCTCCCCCGCGGGCCTTCGGCCACCGAGGAGAGGAGGCCCGCCGCGCGTGCGCGCCGCCCCCCTCGCCGTCCCCCAGCGTCCGGGAGGGGCCACGTCTGCGTCTGCGCGCCTCAGGGGGGCGGGAGAATCCGCCGAGTCGGGCCCAGCTCTGCGCAGTCGCCGTGTGCGCCTTCAGTCGGCTGGCGGCCGCGGGAGGGCGAGGAGAGAAAGTGCTTCTCTGCGCCTGCGCAGCGCTCGCCCCTCGCCTGGAGCAGCCTGAGGAGGAGGAGGAGGCGGCGGCGGTCATCGCGTGAGGGGACCCGGGCTCGGCCACCCACCGCCGCCTCGGTCGAAGCGCGGCCTTGCGGGCGGAGCGCCGTCGGAGCGAGGGAGGGAGAGCCGAGCGAACGAGCGCGCGCGCGCGGCGGCCGGGCCAGGCCGGTCTGAGGCGAGGCGAGGCTCCCTCCTCCCTCAACATGTCGGCGCCGGCGGCCAAAGTCACCAAGAAGGAGCTCAACTCCAACCACGACGGGGCCGACGAGATCTCCGGTAGGCCCGGAGGGGCGGGCGGGCGGGCGGGGCCGGGCTCCCTCCTTCCTTCCTCCCTTCGCTTCCCTCGCCGCTCGGCCGCCATCTTCCCCCGGAGGCGCGAACAGAGGAGGAGGAGGAGGGGGAGGTGGCGGCGCGGGCAGGCAGGCAGGCGAGGAGGCCGGATGTGCGGCCTGGCCCTCCGATGGCCGGCTCTCTCGCCCCGCCGAGGAGGAGAAGGAGGAGGAGGCCATCTTCGGCGCCCCTTTTGTCTGCCGCTCGAGTGAGGCCCAGCCGGCCCGATGGCGCCGATCCCTCCCCTCCTTCCCTCCCCCCCCCCCCCCCCCCCCCCAGGACGAGGAAGGGAGGCGGGGCTCCTGTTGCTGCAACGAACCTGGGATTGCGTGGGATTCCCAAGAATAGGGGGGCTTTGGGGAACTTGGTTAAGGTGGGGAAGAGGGTCTTTTTCCCGCCTTCCGATGCGACTGGGAAATTTTGTCTTTGGGGGTTGTGTGTGTTGGGGGGGGCTTCTCTGGGGGGGGGGGCAGGATTGGACCGGAAGCCAAAGGACACGGCGGCTCTTCTTACGGTTCAGGGCTTCGCCAGATGTTTAAACTCGGATTCGCCCCCCTCTCCCTTTTTTATTTATTTATTTATTTATCCTGTTCCTGCGAGGTTCCATTGGATCCCGCCTTTTTAAGACGGGACCTCCAGGCCTCCTGTTTCCACACCTCCTCCTCCCCCCCCTCCCCGCCACAACAACCCTGCGAGGTGGGTTTAGGCTGCTAGAAAAAGAGGACTGGTCCAAAGTCACCTGGCCAGGCTGCTAGGCGAGCTGAAACTGGGCAAAACAAAAAACAAAAAACCTTTTTGCATGCTGCCCTTAAGCGGATCTGTGGGTGGGGGCATCGTGTTTCTGTGGCAAGGGGGGACTTCCTGCAGGGAGGGTTTGGGGTTGCTGCCGAAAGAGGAAAGGGTGCCTGATTTCAACTGTTGTGAACACTTAGTCTTGATGCCATGTGGGATGTTTGAAAACATTGCCTTTCCCCCAGTTTGGTCCTTTTTGGAGGAGCGTCAATAAACTTTTATTTCCCCTCCAGACAAAGAGCAGCAGGAAGCAATTGAACATATTGATGAAGTACAGAATGAAATAGACAGGTAAACCGGGTGTTTAATCTGCTTTTAAAAGTTGTTTTGTGGTTTGCCATCCTGTTGTAAATAAGTTTTCCTGATTTAATAACCAGCTTGATAGGATGCAATCTAAGGAGATGGTTTTTAATATACAGAATTTCAATGTCTAAAACTTAAGCATTTGCTTGGAATTAGTTTAGAAAAATTCCTTTTTTTTACAATGTAACACAATTGGCCTGTTTCAGATTTTTTTTTTCCCCACCCACTGTTTTGAGGATTTGACTTAAATTGTAACATTATTTCTGCAAAACAAGAGCTCATGCAGAAAATTCAAATGGTGTAATGCTCAATTCATTATTTTTTTTGTACACTGGAACTTCTCAGTTGTGGTTTTCCAGCTAAGGCCAAAACAAAATCTTTCTTTGATAAATGTTACATTTTATGATGGAAGTGTGGATTTGGCATTTTGATATGTGAAACCTTCCATGTTGGGTTAAAACCTGCTTAATACTCTAGCTTTAAGTACTGAGTATTTACATATGTTTAAATCTTGTGTTCAGACTGAACGAACAAGCCAGTGAGGAAATTTTGAAAGTAGAACAGAAATACAACAAACTCCGCCAACCATTTTTCCAGAAGAGGTCAGAATTGATCGCCAAAATCCCCAACTTTTGGGTAACAACATTTGTCAATCACCCACAAGGTAAGCAAAGTTGTTTATTTTTCTGGAAACTTACTAAACAATTTCTTTAAATGACTTGTAATCTTTCATATCATATGCAAATGAAAGTTTTGAAATGCAAAGGTTCTTAGTTCCTATTTTTGATTAGATTTTATTTTAATCCCAGCTTTATTGTTTTTATAAATAACTCAAAGCAGTGAACATACCTAATATTGTTCCTCCTCCTAATTGCCTTGATTTCTGTTAAACTTAGCATTCTAGAACACTTGAGTAGCAATTTATCAGGGAAGTGTACATTTGAGAGAGAAACCGATCCAGTTAGTGAGGCGGTGGCTTCTTATGAAATTATTTGTAACACAAATTTCATCTTTCTGCCTTAGTATCTGCACTGCTGGGAGAGGAAGATGAAGAAGCCTTGCATTATTTGATCAGAGTGGAGGTGACGGAGTTTGAGGACATCAAATCAGGTTACAGAATAGATTTTGTAAGTACAGGTGTAGGACACACCATTTTTACACTTTTTCTGAAAAATGCTGTTTGGAATACATTTTTTTCCGCAGCATGCCCCAAAATATCCTTCCAGAGGATGGATTGATGCTTTGCAACTCTTTTGAGGCGCTTACTGGTGATTGTGGGGGGGAAGGTTTTTGTTTTTGTTTTTTTTGGCAACAATGTACACTTGGGTTGTGCAGGGAGAAAACGTGCAAGTTTAGTGTATGGATGGTAAGCAATTCAGAAACCATTACATGCAGTATGTAAATTTCAGAATTTCTATTTTTATCTGTTCCTTTGAATGCAGTATTTTGATGAGAATCCCTATTTTGAAAACAAGATGCTCTCCAAAGAGTTTCATCTGAACGAAAGTGGAGACCCCTCATCCAAGTCCAGTGAAATCAAATGGAAATCTGGGAAGGTATATAACTCCATTAAGTATAAAATTACCGTATGTAATAGTTTAAAAAAAAAGGAGTCTGATCAATCAGAAGCTCACAAAAAGCTGGTGGCTTTTAATAAAACACGTAGAGTTGGGAAAAGTGTTCTCAGACATATTTATTTTACTATGATATAATACATCTGCTTATAGCATGAAAGCGGGGTGGTCTTAATTGGAAGCCATGATCAGCCTGCTACAGGGCAATGGAAATGATGGATGTGAAAAATCTGTCCCATTGAACTGAATTGGTTTACTCTTGAGACTGTTAACCTTTATGCTGCCTGCCTTTGGGGCCATTCATTATTCGTCATTTTCCCCAACAACCTTAAGTGGCAAAACTAGGCTGTGGTAAAATGCCGTTGCCTAGGTGCATAGTTTTGAACTATGACAAAGTTCCAAAGGAAATACCCTTTAAGAACAGTAAAATCACATTTTTCCAGCAATGGAGGATAGATTTCTCCTGGAGTCAGGATCCCATCCTTATTTCTCCCACAGGATGAGAGAAATTAATTGCATGTCATGTCTGCCTGCAATTGCTCCTTCCATAACCACTTAAAGTGCAACTGGCTGCAATATTTGTGATTGTCTGAAGCTATTCCCAGTACAAAGCTCCATTTATTGGCTGTTGTGCCATGATGGATGTTCATAGGAAGAGTGGCGGACAAACTCCGCTTCCAACTTGTAGCAGAAACATCAAATGGAACTGGGGGAGGAGTTACATAATTGCTAACTTTCTAACAACAAACAAAAGTTGTAAAATGGCGTCCAAGCAAGTTGATCTTTTTGCTCTTTTCCTGACCAAGGACCTGACAAAGCGCTCAGGCCAGACGCAGAACAAGGCCAGCAGAAAGAGGCAGCATGAAGAACCAGAGAGTTTCTTCACCTGGTTTACCGACCACTCCGATGCAGGGGCCGATGAACTAGGGGAGGTCATCAAGGACGACATCTGGCCAAACCCACTGCAGTACTATCTGGTGAGCGCCCGCCGGTAAAGGCCCGTTGGCTGCACGGCTGGTCAAAACGCTCGGGGTGGGGGGGCTCCCTTTGCTATAACTCCTTTTGTGTGCCCAACAAGGTGCCCGATATGGACGATGAAGAAGGTGAGGGAGAAGAGGATGACGACGATGACGAAGAGGAGGAAGGCTTGGAGGACATCGATGAGGAAGGTGATGAAGATGAGGGTGAGGAAGATGAAGATGATGATGAGGGAGAAGAAGGAGAGGTTAGAGCTCTAAGATTTCCCTCTTGGGATGGCAGTTAGCGACCGTATGTTGCCCTAAACTAAGCTCAGAACAGAACTAGCCTTTTGAAGGTTCCCTGGACTGAATACTTTACATCAACTGCTGCTTCAGCTGATTCGGAGTTTGAATTCAGCCGCTGCTAAAGTTGTAGTTATAAGTTGCATAACTTGCACTCAGCGAGCAGGAGAACTTTTGCTGATAAATCCCACGTCATTAAAAGTATACGTATGGGATTGGATTAGCACTATTCGCTTGTTTATGGCACGTGAATGGATTTGGAAGGAAATGTTTCTTTTCTCGCCGTGAACTGATTGTACTGCTACCAACATAGGGGAGAAATGCCACTGGGCACGTTACATAAGCACCAGTTAATGGTTTTTCTCCTCTAGGTGGTGTAACCTGCTACTTTACTTAGGTCATATTATGCTCCAGAGCCTGGCTGGAGAATTCTGGGAGTTGAAGCCCGCACATCTTTAAAGTTGCTGAGGTCAGGAAACTCTGCTCCAAAAGGACCTCCTGGCCCCAAGGCCCTGAAACGAGAACCTCGCCTCCATAGTTTGCACGAACACTAGTTTTGATCTTGAAAATGGCCTCCAATTCAGTCAGAATAGAATTTTATTTTATTTTTTTTCTATTAGCGGGTGGTGGTCGCTTCAAATTCAGGTTCGTCTTTTAGGGTGATACTATTTGCTGGCAGTGCTGTACCAGTCTAACCTAAAAAAGGACTTCAAAGTAGGAACCCAAGAGCCATTCGTAGGAGCCCAAAAGTGGGTCCCCCCGCTAAGCATTCCCCAGTAATAATAAGAGCCTTAGGTCAAGTTTATTCAAACTGCTCCCTTCTTCCTGCTTCTTTCCCTGGTTCGAGTGTAACGCGAAGGAAACAGAGACGTGGGTGGTTTACTTTTTGACCCAACCATTTATTTGAAAATGTTGCTTTTTCTCTCTCTCCGCAGGAGGATGAAGGAGAAGATGACTGAACACTGACAGATTCCAACCACAAGTCCATCCTTCCTTTTCCCCACTCCACCATCCCTGGGAGCAAATTGCTGTCTTATTCCTTCCCCCACTCCCCCTTTCCCTCTCCCTCCCCTTTCCCTCTTGTGCTCAGTCGCATAGTTCTCCCAAGGTCTTTTTCTTTCTTCTCCTCTTCACCATGGTTCACAAATAATTTTTGGAGAAAAAAAAATATCTTGAGCAGAATACAGTGGAAGAGAATCTCGACCCATTTCAATTTTTTTAATCCCTGTTTTTTGAAACGAAACGAAACGAAAAAACAAAAAAACTGTCAGTGGCATCAGCACACTGTGTTCTGTGGGGAAGAATGAGAACCGTCTGCTCCTGGCTGGAGGCTGCGGAGTGCTAGGCCCCCTGTGTGGTAGTGCATAGAATCTAGCTTTTTCCTTCTTTCTCTGTATATTGGGTTCAGAGATTACACTGTGTCTCTATGTGAATATGGACAGTTAGCATTTACCAACATGTATCTGTCTTATTTCTCTTGTTTAAAAAAAAATGAAAAAGCTAAAAAAAATGGGGGGTGGGGTTATAGACAGGGTAAGCAAGGGGTGGGTTTCAGATGTTGGGGTGGGTTAAATGGGCATTTTGACAAAACATGGCTTCTTCTCCTTTTGGCATGTTTAATCGTGATGTTTAACAAACATCTTTGCAGTTTAAGATGACACTTTAAAACAAAAAATTATAAATTCTCTCCTAATGATTACAGTTCAGCCTCTTCCACTTGACGGAGAATCAGCCAAACCCCCCGTAGGATCTTATTTGGAATTTACACTCTCTACTGTAATTTTGTTCCTTGCTTTGGTTTTTTTTTTCCAACTATTTTTTTTTTGTTTCACTGGAAAAAAAAAAAGAAAAGATGCTCAGTTTTAAACGTTAAAAAGTGTACAAGTTGCTTTGTTACAATAAAACTTAAATGTGTACACCAGGGGGCTGATAGTCTTCACTAAACAAAGCCCGCTTTGGGCCCATCCTGATGAGTTGGGTGTTTCAGCATGCTACTAGAGCAAAATACATGACACTTCAAACCAAAATGTTGCTTGTGCAAACAGCTGCAACCCCTTCCCCCTCCTATCAATCTGGCTCCTCACTCAGAATTTGTTCAGGGCTGGTGGGGTCCAGGTTCAGGCTAAAACTGTCATTCCTTGCCCCTTTTCCCACGTCTGAATTGTGACTGGCTGTTTCTCTGGGGTGGAAAAACCGTGCAGTCCCTGTATAAATTGACAACCAAACTAAACAAAGCTGAACTGGCTGGTTTTCTAAACATGACTTCTGGGGAGATGAAAGATGCTTTTGAGGTATCCTAGAGTGATGCTTTTAAATTTTAATTCAATGTAGGAACAATTATGTAACTTCATCTGTTGATATCAATAAAGATCATCGCTGGATTGGTCTTTCAGAGTGGCTTGAATTAAAAAGCTTTGTTTCCCTTGGGAATTGTGGGGCACAGCTCATTGGGGTTATTCTTGTCCTCGTGCCGTTGAACAAAATTTTTAAAGCGCTGTTATGTATGTCTTAAATTGATGCTATTAAAGAGTGGCTTTTCACGTGTGGGTTAGCTTCAGTTGCAAAATCAGACAAGCAAATTAAACACTTGAGAAATTGTATGCTAAATCTACCATAGAAGTAAGTCCCATCTATGATTTGGAAGGACAAGTCTCAAAAAGTAAGAATTGCCTGCTGAAAAATTAGATGTGATTTATATTGGTGCAGTCAATTTTTAATCTGGATCTGAGATTAAAACAAATTCAGGCCTGATTTCTAACAGTTTACAGGATCTAATTAAGAGATCTCTCTGAATTCAAGTTGGATATTGTTCAAAAATCTGCATTGCAAATTGCACCCAATGAGAATTGTTTCTCCCAAAATTTAAAAGTTTACAAGATGGATTGAGACTGCACCCAAAAATTTAAAAGTGGAAACTAAAAAGGCCAAAATTACAAAAACGGTTTAATTAAAACAAGCCTTGTGCTGCAAGGGATATTTTTGGGCACAAGTGTTGGTTGAAAAATGCCCCTGGTACATAGTATAAGATTGCAATGAAGAAAAGTTTATTGGAATGCTGTCCTTATTTCTATTTACTTTCATCCCACCCTTATTATTACGTTTATAAATAAGGTTGACTAGCTCAAAAATCAGCCAACGAGCCTTTGGCATCTGCCATCCTCAGCATCTTCCCGCTGGTATCCTGCCATAAGTTGCACGGGGAGGGGGGAATTTTGGGAAGGGGGGAGAGATGAGCTGATAAGACCCCCAGGGATAAATCAGGCGCGTGGGGGCAGAATGCGAAACTTGCCCCAGAGGCAGCCCCCCCCCATCCCCCATGTGGCCTGCGCGCCCGGAGAGGCCAGCATCCCCACGACCGTCCTAGGGCCCTGGGTCTTGTGCAGGAGCCACGCGGGCAAAGCCAGCCTGGGGAAAGACAGTGAGCCTTTCTCGGGGCGGGTCGGGGAGCCAGCAGAGGGCGCGAGATGAACGCCGCGTTTCCTCCCGCGGGGCCGGGCCAAGTTTGAAAAAGTTCCCCCGCCGGCGCCGTACGGGCTCCAGTGGTTGCAGCAGCAGCAGCAGCGGCGATGGCGGCCGGGCAGATCCAACAGGTGAGCGCGCAGGAGGAGCCGCGCCCGCGCAGGTGCGCCTTTGCAAAGCGGCCTCCAGGCCCGGGGGCTGCTACCCCACCCACACCCCCAAAGCCGCTAGGGCACCGGCGGAGTGAGGAGAGGTCCTGCCCAGCTGGGGTTTGGCCAAGCCAGGCGCCAGTTGGGGATTCCGACGCTCACCCGCGCGTTTTGTGTGGCTTGGTTGGGGCTTTGGGGTTGGGGAGTCCGTGCTTCTGGATTGGGTTGTTTGGGGGCGGAGAGGGTGCCAGGATCTCCCGAGTACTGGGATCCTCAGGGGATGCCCTTGGCTTTGCAGCGGAGGGGGGGGGGTGTCTTTCATCTGCCTTCCTTTTCTTTGCAAAGGAACGCCCCCCCCCAAAAAAAAAAGAAAAAGAAAGGATGGGGTGTAGATGAATGGGTTGTTTCTGCTGCTCGCTTCCCTATCTTGGCTCTGTCGGGGTTGGGTCTCCCCTGGAGCAGATATGTGTGTTTGTGCCTTGTGTTAGGTGAATCCCACTCATTGACTTTGCTTGTTGGAAAGCCCCCAGCCCATCGCCAGCCCCCCCCCCCCCCCCTCTCTGCCCTGGCTTAACCTTAAGTTGGAGCTGCTGCGTTTCCTCCGAAATCCAGTCTGTTTCCTTGCTGGGCGAGACTTTCCTGCCCGCGCCACGGTTTGTGCAATTTCCAGGAGTTATTTGTTTAGAGAGGGGAAACTTTCCCAGATTTCCGGCTGGGGTGTTTCTGCTGTGGAATATCACACTGCCACACGTGTAGCCCCCCCCCCCCACACACACACACCTTCGCCCCTTTCTGCTTTGAAATGCGAAAGAGTGAAGCATCACAACACAACTCAGCCCTTGTGGGTCTTCGAGGCCAGCCAGAACATGCCAGTTTCCAAGCCTCTGCATTTTGATCACGCGACCACGGAGAAAAAGGTTTCTTCAGACCAAAATGCTTTGATGACTTCTTTCAGGACTCTTTGACTTCTGAGTGTTATGCCGAGATTTCTCCTTCAAGATCTAAAAGGGAATTTTTGGGGAGAGGAGCAAGTAAATCGTGGCTCAAAGTTGCCTTTGCCATCTTCCAGCCCTTCCTATAAAGCCACTACTAAATTAGCATTCTTGGAGCGTTTATCTTAAGGATACTTTAATTTCAGTTTGAATGGAATGAAATATTATTTTTCCTTTGCTCTGTCTCCTTGTTTAAAGCAAGGGTTGGGCAGGGGGTTGGTGGAAAATAAAATTGCTAAATAATAAAGTAAGTTTGCACACCCATCAGAATCCAAGAAAATTGAAAAAATTCACACTTCTTTCTGCCAAATTAATCCGAAGACAGTCAAGTTTCTTGCAATAGCTCAGAAGTCGAAGGATATAATCTTATTATTAATGGTTTTAGATTTAATCTTTTTTTCTGCATTTTGAGTTTTTGTTTCGGTTTGTATTTTTGCACTTTAAGATTTGTGTTTGTGTTTTGATCTGTGTTTCTGCCTGTTACATTTTGTGTTTGTTTTTCGAGTCGTATTTCTGCCTCTTAAATTTTATATTTGTGTGTCAATTCATGTTTCTGCCTTTTAAGTTTTGGGTTTGTTTTGATTCCTGTTCCTGTCATATTTAAATTGTCACCCCTATCGTGAAAAGTGACTGTAGGTGGCATACAACGATTCAATAAAGTTTTAAGTTGTTTATTTGTGTTTTGATTTCTTTTCCTGCCTTTTGCCTTTTGTTATCTGTCTTTATGTTTGCGCAACTGGCAGAAGGTCCCAGATCCAGCAGGGATCCAGCAGAAACTGGAATCCGAAAAGGAATCGGTCCGCCGGGCCATCCAGAAAGAGCTGAAAATCAAGGAAGGGGCTGAGAATTTGCGGAAGGTGACCAAAGACAAGAAGAATTTGGCCCACGTGGAGACGGCCCTGAAGTTGTCCAGCCGGAAGTTGGAGCAGTTGCATTGCCAGCTCCAAGCGCTCCAAGCACGGATTGTCACCGGGGAGCGAGATGGCGGCCAAGCAGGTGGGATGTGGAAGTGCACATGGCCAGGGAATTCTGGGAGTTGAAGTCCATGCCTCCTAAATCAGGGGTCGCCAACCTTTTGGACCTCAGGGACCACCAAACTCATAACTTTAAACCCTGCGTACTATTAATATGAATTTTGACTGATGGTGGCTTGCTGATGTTAGTGGGAAAGTCGGTCCCATATTCCAGAGCTGCCGTAGTCACAGGACTGGCCCTTTGGTCATCCCGGAGCAGCTGCTCCTCCACCTGGGTGCACCGGCCTGCCATGGACTGAAGCAGCTGCTCCGGGATGACCAAAGGGCCAGTCCTGTGACTCTGGCACCCCGGGGTGGATTTCCCTCCCCGCCGTTGGTCTTACCTTCCAGTTCCAGCTCACGTGGCTCTACTCAAGGTAAGGTTTGCGCTTGGCTGAAGGGTGGGGGCCAGCGGGTGGGTGGGCCATGTGGGCGGCGCAGCCTTGTGTTCCCGTGCAGCCTGGATTAATTGCTTTGGGGGGGGGACATTTCTCTGCGGACCATTAAAATTTTCTCACGGACCACCAGTGGTCTCCGGCCCACCGGTTGGCGACCCCTGTCCTAAATCAACAGGGGGATTCTGAGAGTTGTAATTCACCCATCTTAAAGCCTGCCAACTGGGGGATTCTGGGAGTTCTAGTCCATACCTCTTAAGGCATGCAAGTTCAGAATTCTCTAAGTGGTCTCCCATCCGGGTCCTGCCCCTGCCACACTGCTGCTTAGTTGCCTCCTGTCAGATTGGCTTTTGTGTCCTCCCCAGGTGCAAACGGATCGCCCGATCTCAAGCTTTGGGGGAAAGACCCCAACCACATTTCAAAAAGGCTGGAGGCTTTGAAGAAACAGCTTCACATCGAGCTGAAAGTGAAGCAGGGAGCTGAGAACATGATCCAGGTCTATTCCAACACAGCAAAGGTGAGTGGGGTAACCCTTTGTCCGTCAAAGTGCCAAGTCACCCCTCTTCCCAGAATTCTGGGAGTTGAAGTCCACGTAGCTTAAATTTGTCAAGATTAAGAAACATTGACTGGTGGTCAAGTATTAGTAGTAGTACCACTTTATAAAGCCTTAGTAAGGCCACACTTAAAATACCGCATCCAGTTTTGGTCACCATATTATACAAAAGATGTTGAGACTCCGGAAAGAGCGCAGAGAAGCAACAAGGACGATTAGGAGAACAGAGGCTAAAACATACGAAGAATGGTTGCAGGGGTTGGGTAGGTCTAATTTAATGAAAAGAAGGACTAGGGGTGATATGATAGCAATGTTTGAATATCTGAGGGGGCGGTCAAGCCCCCCTAAGGCTGGACAAGAAACAATGGATAGAAACTCATCAAGGAGAGAAGCAACCTGGAACTAAGGAGAAATTTCATAACGGTGAGAACAATTAATCAGTGGATGCTCCAACACTGGAGGTTTTTAAGAAAACGTTAGACAGCCATTTGTCTGAAACGGTGTAGAAAGGGGTTGGACTAGAAGACCTTCAAGGTCCCATCCAACTCTCTTATTCTGTAAAGTTCCAGTCACAGAGTATACAGCACTAATTTGGCGCTGGCCATTCGTTGTCTAGATTCTTGTGTAATTCATGAGTAACGCATCAGCTTAAGTGGAATTTCAAGTATGATCCTGATTTTTCACACCTTGCACGCTTGATGTTCCTCACCTCGGATTCTCTCTTCCTTCTCCAGGAGCGGAAACTGCTGGCAGCTGCTCAGCAAACTTTGCAGGACAGCAAGACGAAAATTGAGCTGATCCGTATGGAGATGCTGAAGCTCTCTC